ATTGAGTTATAGTATAAAATGTTCAAAAAATATTATCATTTATTCTTTTTATTTCATGTTTTAATTAAGCCGAGATTAATCTTTCTCCACATTTATCTTTTTATTAGGCAATTCTAGAGTAGCGTCTTCATCATCTATATCCATTGTGATATCAGGTTAGAGTTGAATTTCTTGAAATTAATCTCTTCAAATAATAAAGTCCAACACTAAAATCAACCTATTTGTCTTTTGCTCCCCCCTCAAAAACCACAACCCTAATCCATGAAATGAGTTTATACATAATGAAGAACAAAAGACAATGTCAAGAGACAAAAAAGAAAAAAAAAAGGAATTGAATAAGAATCGCTAGGTTTGCACATGATAAAGAGCAAAAGACAAGATAGGAGTCCAGAAATATATTAGGATACACTTAGATCAATTAAATTATATTATTACTCATAATTGATATGCATAAGAGATAAAATGTGTTGACAATCTTAAACTATAAAACATACTGTATGAGCCCTCTAACATAATTTTATTAATGCAAGCAACCCCAAGATTAATTTTGAAAATCTCTTGGTTTTGTGGAAGAGTTTGGGTGTAAAGAACAAATGTTAAATTATCTAATCTGATTAAAGTAGGATCATATAAGTTAACCCCATACATAGAATTTATTTTAACCAAAACTCATATATAAGTATTATAATTGGCATTGAGATTAAAGAACGTGTGAGATTCTCTTTGACTTTTATACAAACAGTATCTATTTAAATAATAATAGTATAATTATCTCTTTGACTTTTATACAAACAGTATCTATTTAAATAATAATAGTATAATTAAACTTTGTGATCTGAAAAGAAATCAAACATACAATATAATACTTTGTGATCTGAAAAGAAATCAAACATACAATATAATTAATTACTTTAAAATAATCTAATCTAATCTAGTAAGAAGAAAATAGATGAAAGTACTATAAAAATTATTATAATTTTGTAATTCATAATTCTTAAATAATCTAATCTATTCTAATAAGAAGAAAATGACAAAAACACATATTTATTGAAGGAGATAAAAGTAATGTGAAAGTTATTGTAATTTCTTGATCTGAAAAGATCAGATATACAATATATAATTAATTGCTTTAAAATAATCTAATCTATTCTAATAGCAAATGCACATGCCTGTAGAAGGAGATAAAAGTGCTATAAAAATTATTGTAATTTCTTGGCTTATATATTGGTATATGATGTTGCATGTGAGAGGATAACAATTATAAATAAAGTTCTATTTAAATAATAATAGTATAATTAAATTTTGAAACTAACTATACAGTACTTTGAACTACTTCAATTTTAGTCGGTGAGAGATTGCCACTTTGTGTGTAATTATTAATCATATAGTTTGTGAATAATTGTTTACAGATTTGCATTATTAATCATGTAGCATGTGGATAATTATTTAAAGTTTGATCATTGATCACATATAAGAGCGATGAGGTAAATTTAGTATTTAATAAATCGTCTAATTAACCTAAGCGTATTGTGAACTACTTGAATTTTAGTTGGTGAGAGATCGTCACATTATGTGTAATTATTAATCATATAACACGTGAATAATTATTCTCACTTTGGTATTATTAATCATGTAGCACATGAATAATTATTTACAATTTGATCATTGATCACATATAAGAGCGAAGGGAGGGGGGTAAATTTGGCATTTAATAAATCGTCTAATTTACTTAAGTTGCTCTTTCATTCAGGTTTACATTTCAATTTAAATCATATCCTTATCTTCATACTATGTATATCCAATAGTATATCCAATAAGAATTCATCAATTTATCAAGTTACTCTTACTTAATGGATTAGTATTTAAATTCCAATGGTATTTTTGTCTACTAAAAGATTTTCCCAAATTCGTGCTTTTAAACGGAGTATGATACGTGAGCCAGGTAGTCAAAAGGACAAAACACGGGTTGCAAGTTTGCACTTTATTTAGCTTGTTTTTTTAGCAAAGAAGAAGGCCATAAGCCACAGCTTCATAGCTTCTGTAGTAGTGAGTGAGGAAGCACTTGGATACAAACAAATTCATGTTCTTTTCTTCACGTGAAGCTACACAATCTGGCTCCTACTTTCTGTAGTTTACTTAAGCACTTGTTTGGTGATCGAAAATTAAATGGAAAATAAAAAGTAAAGAAAAGAGAAATTGCTTTTAGAATAACTTATTTTCTTTTCAAATACTATTAGAAAATTTATTTGACAATCGGAAAGCAAAATGTAAAAAGTTGATGTGAAAGCTGATGTGATATTAACATTTTTATATGAATAGTATTTACCTTATATTGACTCTTGATGTCCTCTGCTAATCTAAAGGTTAAGCCAAATGTTCTAACTACTATGTTTTGTTCCCAATGCCTAATTTAAACTCATCATTTTTTGAATTCTATTCAATGTGGGATTATACTCACATTCAAATCCACTGGGCCGCCTAATGCCACTTGGCGGCCTACTTTTGGCCAGAGTGACCAGTCTAGGCGACCGCTTCACCTAGGCGCCGCCTAGTGTTTAAACAAAAAAAAAGGAAAAATTGCTTCTAGCCCCCAATCTCCTTACAAGTATTCTGCCCACCCCTATACTTTTTTAACGCTTCCAAAACCCTCAAAAGTAAAACCATAATTCCCTGAGCCCCTCAAACACAAAACCCAAGAGTTTAAAACATGTGAGACCATAATACCATTTCTCTCTCTCTCTCTCTCATGATGTTATCATGATGATTTAAAATGTGTTTTGGAGGAAAAATTTCTAGTTCCCTCCAAAATTTTCTAACGGCGTTAACATCGGCGGTAAAACTTTTCCAACATTTGTTCATAAGGCAAAGAAAAAGTCTTGGGGAAACTAGAAATTTTCAGCGGAATACTTGTAAGGAAATCAATGACTTGAGATTAAAATAGAGTATGTAAATTTATATATTATTGTTATTTTATCATAATGAGTTTGTTGTTAAGCTTATGAGTTGGTGGTGAATAAAGATTACGTGTTGGTTTTGATAGTTACGAGTTGGTTGTGAAGGTTACACGTTGGTTGTGAAGGTTATGCATTGGTTGTAAAAATTAAGAGTTGGTTGTGAAGGTTATGCATTGGTTGTGAATGTTGTGAGTTTGTTGTGAAGGTTACGAGTTAGTTGTGAACCTCGACAATGAGTTGATTGTGATTGTTGTTAATTAACCTTCACAACCAACTCGTAACCGTCATAACCAACTCCTTACCGAGGTTCACAACCAACTCGTAACCTTCATAAAAACTCGTAACATTCACAACAAACTCGTAACATTCAAAACGAACTCGTAACCTTCACAACCAACACATAACCTTCACAACAAACTCGTAACCTTCACAACAAACTTGTAACCTTCATAACCAACACGTAACATTCACAACCAACGCGTAACCTTCACAAACAACTCGTAACCTTCACAATCAACTCGTAACCTTCACAACCAACTCGTAACCTTGACAACTAACTCGTAAACATCACAACCAACTTGTAACCTTCAAAACCAACACTTAACCTTTCTTCACCATAAACTCATAAGTTTAACAACAAAGTTATTACCGTGAAATAACAACAATATATAAATTTACATACTCTATTTTTAATCTCAAGTCATTGATTTCCTTATAAGTATTCCGCCGATGAACGGATGTTGTTTTCTTCCCACCGGTGAAACTTTATCGTCGTTTCCTTGCAAGTATTCCGTCGAAAAATTCTAGTTTCCCCAAGACTTTTTCTTTGCCTCATGAATAAACGCTGGAAAAGTATTACTGCCGATGTTGATGCCGTTGAAAAGTTTTAGAGGAAATTAGAATTTCCCTCCCAAAACCCATTTTAAATCATCACAGTAACATCATGAAGAGAGAGAGAGAGAGAGTATTATGGTATTCACATGTTTTAAACTCTTGGATTTTATGTTTTGGGGCTCAAACAATTATGACTTTATTTTTTGGGGTGTTGGGAGCGTTCAAAAAGTCTTAGGGGTGGACGAAATACTTGTAAGGAATTGGCGGCTAGAAGCAATTTCCCCCAAAAAATAACTTTTTAAACCCCTTACAGGGCCTAAACCCGAACTCGAACCCAAACCCATGACCCAGACTCGCAACGCATTACCCAAACCTAACCCTATTCTCTCTGTCTCTTTCTCCCACTCCCGCCGCCTCCTTCACAAGCAGCTCAACTCCCGACTGCTCCCCCCAACCTCTTCCTACTTCCGCCGCCAGTCGACACCTCCGCTCCCACGCTAGGCCCGCTCCCGCTCCCGCTCCGCGCTCCACGCTTCTCTCTCGCCGCCAGCAGCTCCCTCTCCCTTGCGGCCGCGCTCCGCTTCCGCTTCTCTCGCCGCAGCAGCCTCCTCTCCCTTGCGGCCCACCTCTCTCCCCGATTCTCCCGCCAGCCAGCAAACCCGCTCGAGCCTTCCTTCCTCTCCCGCCGCTAGCCGCCAGTGATCCCGATTCTCCCGCCTCTTCTCTTCTGTAAGTAACATTTTCATCTTTTTTTCACTGGTCAATTTAGTAAGATAGTTAATATAGTTTAATTTAGTTCGATTAATTAATTTAATTTAGTTAATTAGTTAATCTTGTTCAATTTTATTCACTGTTTCTAATTTTAGTTTAATCTTGTTCAATTTTAGTTCAATTTTATTCACTGTTCAACTTCTATTTAGTTAATTTTAGTTAATCTATGTAATTAATAATTGAGATTAAAATCTTGTTCAATTTTACATATACTCTTATAGAAGAGATGACTAAATAGTAAATAGATGTTAATACTTAATAGATCAAGTTATGTGATATATTTGAATCTTTTATTTACGTATTTGTGCATAGTTGATTATGGATCTAAGCTTGTTATTTATGTTTTTTTTGCAATTTTAAATAATCTTAATGCATATTTTTATGAATTATTATAATTAAATAAATTTAAAAATAGGCAAACGCCTAGGCGCTAGGCCCCGGCTTGAACGTCTAGTCTGCCTAACGTCTTCTGTAGCATTAGGTAGGAATGAAATTAAGGAATAAATACTTAAAAGTTGTGAAGAAGACTCTTGTGCACAGGAGAATAAGAAGCACTGAGTGATTTAAAAATAAAAAAAAACCATAATTTTCTAAAATTAGAAGATTTTTATAAAATAAATAATATTATTTTTTCTTTCCTTTCACATCACTTTCCATTCACTTTCTAATTTTTTTTTAAGAAAGTGAAATAGTTAAAAAGCTGACGTAGAACCTCTTCACTTTCCTTCACTTTCTAAAATGCCAAACAAGAAAAAGAATGGAAAGTGCGGTCACTATCTAATTATTTATTCACTGTCTATTTACTTTCTTGTTGCCAAACACACCATAAGCTTACGAATTGGTCCTGTATTTTTCTCTAGCAATTAGATTTAGATTTACATCTTATTGTAATTATTATCTAATTTCATGGTTTTCATTTGCTTTATTAGCCATTCATCTTTCTACTGACCATAAATGGTCCTTTGAATAGTATTAATTTTACGCGGTCGGGGCGGGCGAAGGCCCAAAGCCTTATCAGCAAATCAAATCAAGTAGCAGGCGGAGCCGAGCTCTGATCGCAAAACCCAGCCTAGAAACCCTCATCTCCCCAAAACAACAGAAAAAGGTGCTACACCTACCAAATCAATGGCGGCCTTGGCGAGCAGATCAATGACAGAGAACACCGTCAGTTTTGTCCGGCGATCTTTCAACCTTATCAGAACCCTAAGCACCTCTGCTCCTCCGTCTTTAGCGGCCGCCTCCTCCGCTGCTGCTGAAGTGGCAGAGGCGAGGAAATCGAAGCGGAGGAAGAAGAACCTTTTCGAAGTGGCACAATTCTTGCCGAACTGGGGGATTGGATTCCAGATGGCCAAGAGTCACTGGAGGGATGTCTCCTACGAGATCACGAAGATCAATCTCTACAAGGTTTTACTCTATCTTTTGGCTTCTTTCATTTGATTTTGTTTCCCCTTTTGAGGAATTTTGATTGGACTTGTTCGATGGCAAAATTAGGATGGACGACATGGCAAGGCTTGGGGGATTCGTCACAAGGCCGGTGAGTGATTTTTTTTTTGTTTATTTCTCCTAATTTCTCATAATTTTCCCTTTATGTTTATACTCAGCAATGTATGTATATGGTATTACTCAAAGAATTTATTAGGATTTAGTTATCCGATTCAAACCTATGGCCCGATTGTATTGAAAGTGGTACTAGTTTTAGATGCATTGCATAGAACTTTACACGGTGATAGCTGATTTCAACTTTATTTGATTGACATTGATTAAGTTTTTAGAAGGAGATAGAAGGGAGTAGACAATTTTGCTTTCCCTTTCTCGTTCTAGAATTAGATATGTTATGCAGAAGATGATGGTTGGTTCGGAGGTGCACAAAGTTCTTGTCTGTCTACACTTAACTAGAACTAGGAAGTATTCATCCAAGTGGAATCAGGGTTATCAGAAAACACTTTATGTGCTTATTAATTGTAAATAGCATCACTAAGTATGACAAGCTTTAATATTCTACCTTGAATTGGCATCGTTGTATAACCTTCTCTTTATAATCTATGGTGTTTAGTTGTATATGATGTGTTGAAGTCTGAGCTACTGGTGTGGAAATGTCTGAGTTTCTACACTGGTGAAGTCCACAGGAATCAACTGGTTTAAGTGGATGAAATGAAGTCTTGCATACATCTCTGCATTGACTCCTACAGAGCACTTCGTCTACCTCTCATGCTGCTTTTCTATGACCTTAACTTGACCTCTTTTAACATATATGATTATATGTCCCTTGAGTACATATGTAGCATCTTTTCCATATCCTTCAAAATTTATCCTGCACAGACCATGATCATGAGCTTGGTGATATATAATTCCGTAACCTGCTGCTCCTACCTTCCTCAATGTATAAACGTTGCTACAGTTTCCTCCCAATTAGTCAACTAAATTGCTATTTTACATCAACAACTAATTCTTCGCCACCTCAATCAATGAGCTCTTCCCTCGAATCCTACTTTATTATGTGTGTGCTTCGCTCAGGCTTCTTGGATTATATAACCCGTGAAAATCATGAATTTGACGCACTCAAACTTAATTATGTTTGGGCTGAAGCGAACGAAAATGAATAATGATCACGGGTTCTAGCCCATGAAAATCGCAAAAATTTTGAAGTACGTATGCTTGATTGCTATTTGGGCGAACAAATGAAAATGGGTAAAAGTTGCTTTAGCCCACGGTAACTGGCTTTGCACTAGTCCAGTATCGGTCGATTATTGTAATACTTACATCACCACCAATGTCACTCACTTGCAGCTGGGAAGATGGGATTGCTCTGGTATCATTTGTAAGAGATCTAGGAGAGCTCATCCTTAAAAGCTAGTTGTCAGAGGGAGAGAACCCATATCTCTTATAAACACAAATTTGACTACTCATTTAATCAATCTGAAACTAAAAGGACCCTATCACAATATAAAGAGTATCTAAATCCAAATCTAAGGAAATAGAACTAATTTACATGCTAAAACCCCTTAAAACTCACATGGTCTGTAGATGGCTCAAATTCCCAATGCTGAAAATCTTGATATTTGATGTATGCGTACTCAATTTGCATTGAGTTGAAATAAACAAAAATGTTAAAAATTGTGGGTTGTGGCTCATGAAATCGTGAATTTGAGATACATATACTTAATTGTCATTGGGTCAAAACAAAGAAAAATGACAAATCAAGATATAGTCCATGAAAATCGTGAAATTTTAAAGTACATATACTTAATTTTAATTTTCTCAAAAGAATGTAAATGTACAAAATCCAAACCAACAAAAATGGACAAAAATCATGGGTTAAAAAGCTCATAAAAACCGCGAAATGTTAAAGTACATATCCTTTATTGCCATTGGGTCCAAATGAACGAAATGAATAAAAAGCATGGGTTTAGCCTATGAATTTGCTAATTTTCAAGTACACATTATTAATTGTCATTGTATGAATGAAATTGGACAGAGGTCATGGGTAAGCCTATGAAAATCAAGAATTTCAAAATATGGGTATTTAATTTGTATTGGGTTGAAAGAAATGAAAATGAAAAAAATCGTAGGTTATAGCTCACTAAATCCTAAATTTTGAAATACGCGTACTTAATTGCTATTAGATTGAAATTAAAAAAGGGTCAAAATCATGGATTAAAGTCCATGAAAATCGTGTTTTTTTTGAAGTATACATACTTAACTGACAATTGGTTAAAAGAACGAAAATGGACGAAAAGCATAGGTTGAAATTTAAAATACTCATAATTAATTGTCATGGTTTATAAACCATGAAAACCATAAATTTGAAGTGCACATCATCTATTATTGTTGGGTCGAAGCAAACGAAAATGAACAAAAAACGTGAGTTATAGTTCATGAAAATTGTGAATATTGAAGTTCCCGTACTTAATTGGCATTAGTCAGAATGAAGAAAAATGGACAATAATCAATGAGTTATAATCAATGAAAATCATGAAATTGTGAAATATGCATGCTTAACTTCCATTCGGTCAAGACAAAAAAATGAAAAGAAATTGTGCTTTAGCTCATGGAAAGCATTAATTTCCAAATACACATAATTAATTCATGTTGGATTGAAATAAAAAGAAATGGAAATAAGTGTGGGTTAGCCTAGGAAAATAATGAATTTTTAAGTGCATGTTGTTAATTGCTATTAGATCGAAATGAATGAAAATAAATTAAAATCATGGGCTATAGCTCATGAAATCGTGAATTTTGAAATATACATACTTAATTGCCATTGGTCCAAAACATGCAAAACTGAACAAAAATTATGGGTTCATGAAATGGTGAAATTTTGAATTATGGATACTTAATTGCCATTTGATCAAAATAATTAAAATGAATAAAAAGCATGGGTTATAGCTCATAAAAATTATGAATTTTGTGGTACCTGTAATTAATTGTTATTAGCTTAAAACAAAGGAACATGGACAAAGATCGTAAGTTATAACACAATCGTAAAATTGAAATGCGCATGCTTAATTGCCTTTAGGTCGACACGACTTATAATAAACAAAAATCGTGAGTTATAGCCCATGTAAACTGTGAATTTTGATTTTCTATACTTAGTTGTTATTGGGTCCAAACTAACAAAACTTGACAGTAATCATGGGTCATATCCCATAAAATTTGCGAACTTTAAGTACACATGATTAATTGTCATTGCATCGACACGAACAAAAATGAAAAAAAATCATTGGTGGCCTCTGAAATCGCTACTTTTCAAATATGCATTAATAATTAGCATTGAATTGAAATGAATGAAAACAGACAAAAGTCATGGATTAGCCTATGAAAATCAATAATTATGAAGTACATGTTCTTAATTTATATTGGGTCGAATAGAATGAAAATGAACAAACATCAGAATTTATAGCTCATGAAATCGCAAATTTTGAAATACATCTACTTAATAGCAAGGTTTTAAATATCGGTTATCGGGGATTTATCAGACGACCAAAATCCTTATCGGATAGCGGAAATCGCGATAAGTAAGACCTTTTTATCGGGATTATCGGGATTATCGGCTCATTTTGACTAACATTATATTTTTTTCAAGGCTATGATGCAAGTTTCATTTTCTACAATTGGTTAATGATTCTAAACATGATGATTTACATTTTGGTATGTTTATATTTCATTAAGCATGATTAGATTATATTTTTTAATTGTTATATTATATATACACATCATCCAGTATCAAGGTTTTAAATGTCGGATGTCGGGTTCATGTCGGATGGCTGAAATCCATGTCGGATAGCGGAAATCGGGGATATATCGGGGATAAATAGTATTTATCGGAGTGATATACTGGATGATGTGTATATATAATATAACAATTAAAAAATATAATCTAATCATGCTTAATGAAATATAAACATACCAAAATGTAAATCATCATGTTTAGAATCACTAACAAATTGTAGAAAGCGAAACTTGCATCATAGCCTTGAAAAAAATATAATGTTAGTCAAAATGGGCCGATAATCCCGATAATCCCGATAAAAAAGTCTTACTTATCGGCCGATAAGTACCGATAACGCCGATAAATCGTCGATAAACCTACAAAAATGATAACCGATTAAAAATCCAATTTATCCTAGCGGAGAGCTCCCAAATCCGATAACTCGGCCGATAATATCGATTATCGGCCGATATTTAAAACAGTGCTTAATAGCAATAGGTCAAAAGTAACAAAAATTGATAAAAATCATGAGATTACCATGATAATCATGAAATTTTGAAGTATGCATACTTAATTGTTATTAGTGAGGAGGGCATATGCAATGCACATGCATATTGCTCTTAATATAGTGTAGATTTAGATAAACTATGCATATATTTGTAGAATTGATTTTAATGATTTAGAGAATATTTTAAACTTGTTAGTGTAGCATAGACTTTGTTTCTTTGGGGACATTAAGATAGGAGAGAGAAATTGAGAATCACAAAGTTTATGCATATTTCATTAAGGATATGTTGTCACAATTTCTTATGATTTACTTTCTTTAATAAGTAGCATATGTTTCTTTTCTATCTAAAATTGCTCTATTATGCAATTGATGGATTCTTGCATTTTTTTGTTTATTTGAATCATCAACTATGGTTTGCACTATAAAAGTTCAACTAAAGATGAGTGTAATTGTTAAGAAAAATAAATTTCACAAGAAGATCTAGTAAATTGATCTTAAGTGCTTTTGATTCTTTCTATAATCAAATATTTACTCATTGTATGACTATAAGTGCTGCTTTTGAATATTATTTTGATTGTAAATTGATTTGTTCATTGAGGGACCAAATTGCGAGGCCCGGTTTTAATTTTGAATACCATCAACGAAGTGTTACATGACACATGAAAAAGCAGGCAACTCTTAGCCTCTTTATATAGAGAGTGATTTGGTCTAAAGAACAAAAATAGACAAAACTATGGATTATAGCCAATAAAAATCATGAATTTTAACGTATGCATAGCTAACTGTGATTAAGTTGAAACGAACAAAAAATAAACAA